TTTTTGCTTATGTGGTGCTGAGGAATCGAACCCAGGGCCTCAGGCATGCAAGGCAAGCACTCTACCACTGAGCCACCTACCCAGCACGCACCTTTATTTCTATCTTGCTTCCTTTTAGAATTTGAGCTGGTAGAAAGATTAATATATAGTCAGCAGTGAAGGCCTGGTGAACACACAGTCCACTTCTGTATCTACACACTCCCAGGCTCTCCTGTTGAAGAGGTACGCTGCTGTGCAGGGAAATGCAGTAGATATGGATGGGACATGGCTGTTATTCCTCCATTGTTTGAAAATAATCCAGCACCTCTTAACCAGATAAGCTATACACCATGACTTTGTTGCTTGTTAAAGGAAAAGAAAATCAGCACATATTAGATAGGATTAACTTACTTTATTTTTGCCTTATAGATGGGTCTGGATGGACTTCAACAAGATTATATCAGAAAAGCTGAATACCCTTTTAGTTCTGAGCAAAAGTGGATGGCTGTTAAGTGTGTGCATCGAACTCAGCAGGTATCTCTCTCTCTCTCTCTTTCTCCTTCTCTTTCTCTCCTCTGCCTCCTCTTTCTCCTCTGTTTTCTCTGTCTCCTCTCTCTCCTCTCCCTCCTCTCTCTTGTTTAGTGGAGATAAGAGTCTCATAGACTTTCCTGCCCCGGCTGGCTTTGAACTGCAATCCTCAGATCTTGGCCTCCTGAGAGTAGTCAGGATGACAGGTGTGAGTCACCGGCGCCCAGCATGTCCTACCTTAAGAACAAACAAAATCATACTGTTTTGTAGAAGAGTGGTTCCCAAATATATGTAGAATTACAAACTGGCAAAAATGACATGTACTAAGCAATCACTGTGGTTTTTGGGTGCTTTCCAAATTTTTATAGCTAGTGTAGAGCGTTCTGTTGTCTACAGTATATAATTATTCAGAGTTACTATTACCAAGTTGTGCTTTCATTGCATAGATTAGGCTGGATGCAGTGGCTCACAATTGTAATCCTAGTCACTTGGGAGCGGAGGTCAGAGGATCAAGATTCAGGGTCAGCCTGGGGGAAAAAAGTTCATGAGACTTCATCTCAACCAGTGACTAGACATCATCGAAGCTATGGGGAAAACACAAATAGAATTTTAGTCCATACTTACCAGGGATTGGATAGGGGCTTTAGGTTTTCATTAATAGTTTTGAGTGTTATTTTTTGTTTTTGTAAACTGGGTATTGAACCCAAAGAGGCCTTATACATACAGAGCTGAATATTCTGCTATGCTTAAAAGAAAAAAAATGCCTGGCAATGCCTTCAATTACAGGATGGTTATGAGAATTTAATAGGATTGCAAGTGAATAGGTAAACATAGATATATAAACAATAACTGATAAAGAGCTTAAACGATTGTCTGCAGGTTAATACTGCATCTCTTTCCTTTCCCTGTTGCATTCTGAAGAGCCTTGTCCCAGATTTCTCGAGCATTTCATTTGAGGCTTGGTATAGTGCTGCCCTCAATGTCTGCAAACATGTAGGGCAGATTCTGTTTTCTGTAGAAAAAGAGAGAAAGCTCTCCCATGAGCTGTTTCGTTTGTTTTGCCCCTTGGCAAGCGCTCTCCCCCACCCCCCAGTGAGTTTTTAAATCTTCAGAGTTCAAGTGCCACTTGGAAAATTAGGCCTAGGGATTAGGAAAAACACACGTCACTTGTTTTGTATCGAAGTTAAATGACACTTGTATTTGGTCTATTTTTTTTCTTCTTAGGACAGACCGGAGGTTTGTTTTATGAAGGGTGCCTATGAACAGGTGATTAAGTACTGCACTACATACCTCAGCAAAGGGCAGAACCTGGCACTTACCCAGCAGCAGAGAGAGCTGTACCAACAAGAGAAGGTACGCATGGGCTCAGCAGGACTCAGAGGTAAGCCCATCTCAGTGTCATTCTCGGAATGGAAAGTTCCGTGCTAACTGCAGAGGAGTCCGTACTTCACAGCCAGGCCATCCGATTCTGCTCCGGGCTTCATAGAACCCTCCTAACTAGCCCCTAAAAGATGGAAAGTCAAAGCTGGGAGCTGATCGTAGTTACGCAGGAGGCTGAGATCGGGGGATCCAGGGTCAACACCAGCCCAGGCAGAGCACACCAGGCCCTCTCTCCCAGGGATACCATGTGCAGGACGGAGCGGCAGGAGTACACAGCTGGCTCTTCCCTTCTAAATAGTTACTTACTGGCTTAGGTAAACTGTATGAAGTCAGTCTCCAAAGAAATTGGAAGAGTTGCTGTTTTTTTTTTCTCCAGTCCTGAGGTTTGAACTCAGGGCCTGGTTGCTGTCCCTGAGCTTCTTTTGCTCAAGGCTTGGACTCTACCACTTGAGCCATAGCATTACTTCCGACTGTGGTACTGAGGGATTAATCAAACCCAGGGTTTCCGTGCATGCTGAGCAAGCACTCTACCACTAAGCCACATTCCCAACCCTTTTTTTTTTTTAATGTAAATTTTTATTGTAAAGGTGATATACAGAGAGGTTACAGTTTCATAAGTAAGGTAGTGACTACATTTCTTTCTGGACAGTGTTACTCCCCTCCTTCATTTTCTCCCACTTTTTCCCCCCTGACCCTTGTGCCCCCAAGTTGTATAGTTCATTTCCAACCTAGTGTCTAGTGAGTATCACTGTTGAATTGGTTCACCCTTTGTCCCACTCTTTCTGCGATTCCCCTTCCCTTCCCTTCTGTACCAGTCTCTTTCCTAGCACCAAGGACTGTCAGACAGCTTTTCCTTCCCAGTGAAAGCCTTAGGGTCTTGCATCTACGTAAATAGTTAAGTAGATCACTCTTACAATGGAAAAACAGAAGTTACTTGCCTCTGACTTTGGTTTTCCATTTCTCTATACCGTCTATTTGAATAAGAATAAATACTTCCTTAGATCTCTCTGGAATTTTTCAGTCTCACCATGAGGTACTTAGGGTTAGTGTGCTTTGGGATAGTTTTTGATATGCCAGGCTAATAATTCCCCAGATACAGGCACATCCCTTTGGTTCATAAGGGAGATTATGAGAGGTTGCAGAATTCTGAGAGTAAGCTAAATGACACATGGAAAATGGACAGGATTTTCTGATGTCTTACTGTCCAAAGGTAACAGGAAACCATAAATAATGATATGATGGTGTCCAGTATTATAAACTCTTTTTGTTGTTGTTGTTGTCGGTCGTGGGGCTTGAACTCTGGGCTTGGACACTGTTAGGTTTTTAAAAAGAGGTAGGCGAGTAAGAACAGCACCACGCACGTGGTATTTAGGTAAAGGGTAGGTTTATTTACCGTTCTGGCTGGCACCAGGCCACGTTGGCCCTCTACGCAGCTGGGAAAGGCCTGGGAAAGAGCTGAGAAAGAGCTAGAAAAGAAAAGAGAGAGCTGGGAAAGAGCTGGGAAATAGAGGTGAGAAAGAGAGAGCTGGGAAAGAGAGCGTCTGGCCTGGGCTAGGCCTTATCTGGGGTATGGGCAGAGAAAGGTGTGGCCACATCAAATTCAGATGTGACCTCAGCGGATGCAGATGTGACCTCTCCCAGGTGTGCCAGTTGCCTAGGTAACACAGGTACTGGGTGAAGACTTTGTTGTGAGGAGGATGGAGTCTGCTCACCATCTAGGAGTGGACCTTACAGACACTGTCCCTCAGCTTTTCAACTCAAGACAAATGCTCTTCCACTTGAGCCACAGCACCACTTCCAGTTTTTGGTAATTAATTGGAGATAAGAATCTCACAGACTTTCCTGCCTGGGTTGATTTTTGAGCCACAATCCTCAGATCTCGGTCTCCTCATTAGCTAGGATGACAGGCATGAGCTACCGGTGCCCATGCATTATATATTCTTATAGAACAAAGGTTATAAGAAATGCCTGTTAATGTTAAGGAGAGAATGAAAGAATCCAAACTTCCTTGGTACTGATGTAACCACTGTTAGACAATCCTTGTCTTCCACAGTTTGCCATGTTTGAAATTATAGGCTGTGTATAATTAATACAGCTTTCCCTCCATGCTGTTGAATTTTCCTTGGAGACCTATGAAATGGAAAGATAAAGATATTTGGTGTTGCCTTCAAAGGCCTATCTGCTTAAAATTGACTTAGTAAAGGTTGAGGAACTCTAAACAGTTGGTTGTGTTTAACAAAGTTGCAGTAGTTTTTGTGGAAAGCAGCTGCAAGAAATTGGTTTATAAAAACCATCTTCAGCCAGGTGCCAGTGACTCACGCCTGTCATTCTAGCTACTCAGAAGGCTGAGATTCTGAGGATCGTGATTCAAATCCAGCCCCGGAAGGAAAGTCCATGAGACTCTTATCTCCAATTAACCACTTAAAAGTGGAAGTGGTGCTGTGGTTCAAAGTAGTAGAACGCTGGGCTGGGAAGGTGGCTCAATGGTAGAGCACTTGCCTTGCATGCCTGAGGCCCTGGGATGGTTCTATTCCTCAGCACCACATATGCAGGGAAAAAAAAGCCAGAAGTGGTGCTGTGGCTCAAGTGGTAGAGCGCTAGCCTTGAGGTGAAGAGCTGAGGGACAGCACCCAGAGTTCAGGCCCACGACTGGACGCCCCCTCCCCCCCAAAAAAAAAGAAAAAGAAAAAAAGTAGTAGAATGCTAGCCTTGAGCACAACGAGGCTCAGGGAGGCGCCCAGGTCCTGAGTGCAAGCCCCAGGATGGCAAAAGAAAAAAGAAAAAAAGATCTTCATTCTCTCTCTGTTGGCCTTTTTCTGTTTAACAGTTCTTTAGTTTTATTCCTTTTCATTTTTAATAGCTTAAAGCAACTCCATATCTAGACCCATTAAATTGTAATGTCCTAGAATTTTAAAGATTGTTTAATAGCTACAAATGAATTCATAGTTAGTCTAAAATGATTGTCAGCTAAATTCTAATGTTTTGTGACTCACATTTTCTGGTTGGGATTCTGTTATTGTTTCCTAAGTTCTTGCTTTGGCTTCTGGTCCTGAGCTGGGTCAGCTGACATTCCTTGGCTTGGTGGGAATCATCGATCCTCCTAGAACTGGTGTGAAGGAAGCCGTTACAACACTCATTGCCTCAGGAGTGTCGATAAAAATGATCACTGGAGACTCACAGGAGACTGCGGTTGCAATCGGTATAGCTAGCTACTTCCTTTGGTTCTTAGCAGTTTTCCTTGAAATGCTGCAGTGCACTTGGGTGAACCCTGGGCACCATGTATGCTTATGTCATGTTGAGGCTGTGTGATTACAATTGATGCACTTGTTTTTTTTTGCCCAGACTTTATATAAAATTGTGGGAAAGCCGATTATAGTTTTTTTTTAAAAAGAATATTGAGAAGTTATAACCAAGTCTTTATGAAATCACTTTATTCACAGAAAGATAATTGTTTGTCACCTCATATTCCCATCAGTTGTAAGCTATACTTAACCTGATTGGGCTTCTTTTAGTTCTTAGATTTTACTGGATTAAATAGTGAAATTTCTTAAATTTAAACTAAAACCAGAGTCAGGACTTAGGATAAATGCAAATAGTTTTGTGTGACTGACAGTATGTTTTGTGATTTTTATTTTTTATTTTTTGGCCTGGGGGTTGGGGGCCGGGGGCTTGAACTCAGGGCCTGGGTACTATCTCTGAGCCTCTCTGTGCTCAAGGCTAGCACTCTACCACTTGAGGTACAGTGCCACTTCCAACTTTTTCTGTTTATGTGGGACTGAGGAGTCGAACCCAGAACTTCATGCATGGTAGGCAAGCACCCTACCACTAAGCCACATTCCCAACTCCTTGTGATTTTTCTTTTTTAATAGACTTTTTGTTCTAAAAAAGAGGTAAAAGTCATTTAACTAAGAGTAGTGTTGACTAAATCCATGAAGCAAAACTAATTTGGCTTTTCTTTTTTTTCCCTCTCTCTGCTTTAGCCAGTCGCTTGGGATTGTATTCTAAAACTTCCCAGTCGGTCTCAGGAGAAGAAATTGATGCTATGGAGGTCCAGCAGCTCTCACAGATTGTGCCAAAGGTAGCCATGTGACCGAGCCGCTTAGAGCTTTGTTCTCAGAGTGAACCCTTACTACTGTTCTATAAACTGTTCACTGCCACATTTACTGGTTTAAATTCTCAAAAGCAGTTCCACTGAAATAGCCTTATTATTGAGTGTTTGCTATCATAAAAAAGGAATATTTGGGGGGAGCGGGGGGGGCAGTCGTGGGGCCTGAACTTCTGGGCCTGGGCCCTGTCCATCAGCTCTTCAGCTGAAGGCTAGCTAGCATTATACCACTTGAGCCACAGCACTACTTCTGGCTTTTTCTGCTTATGTGGTACTGAGGAATCGAACCCAGCGCCCCTCATGAGTGTAAGGCAAGCACTGGACCACGGAGCCACCTTCCCAGCCCCAGGAAGGAGTATTTTTCCACAACCATTAACTTCAGCAAAAACTACATTTCCTTTAAGGAAAGTACTATGGACATTAACAGTGCTTGAATTTATAAATTAAAGCTAGAGAGATGTCATTACTATAAAGTAGTCCCTTATCCTTTGTCCTGTTGGGTTTTAATTTTTTTTTTTTATTGTTATAAAGGTTATGCACAGAGGGGCTACTGTTTTTTTTTTTTT